CATATGCCCGGCCTGTAACGTCCGATTATTTCTCAGAAATTTCCCGAGAACCCGCCGCCTTCAAGCTATTTTCTCACCGCGAACCAACAGAAATGTCACAAGTCCTCGGGTCAACATGAAAATACAAGCATTCCCTCCGTCCACTACCTGATTCGAAGGCACAGTTGGTGAAATTTGCCGGAGCAACCAACTCAGTTGACTGTGTGCACGGTAGGCATTATGCCAATTGTGAACTTCTACTCAAATCAAAGACACGCAGCTTTAGTGACCTCTGAACTGTGCCTTGTAGCCTACACCCTTACACCTGGAATGAAGATCAGATATACACCACAGTCTTCAGTGAATTCGGACTCTGTCCAACAAAATCGATTTTGAAGACTGACGCGCCTGACGATGGGTTGATAGGGCACATATGTGCTGACATGTGATGCGTGCCTTCTCACAGGCCAACAACTAAATGAATCACTAAAATTCATCTCTCTAGTTAAGTATGAACTAGGGTCGAGATCAGTTTAAGTGACGCTAGGTGCCAAGCTATCGATTATCCGAACAGAGCGTTTGATAAAAAATTCGAGCTATCTGTCCAGGTTTTCAAACAGGAGTCGTTTTTACACGGTAAATGCGTTTCGGCCCGACAATATCAATGAGACGTCATGAGAACACGCTGGTAGGTTGTGTTGGTCGTTCTTGAGTGTTGGAACACCCGATTCTGGACTCCTCAAAGGGCCCTCTTAAATTGGGGTTGTACATAGCCATCACGGTTTCTTTAACAATACAAAGCGTAAAGTTGTTGTTTTTGGACACCTCTGCAGAGCGAATGGCAGTACTCGGCCCTCACAAGCGAGAGATTCAGTTGGGTTCCAAGTGAGTCCTCCGAAAAAACCAACTTAGTTTGCAAATGAGTGTATATTCGCTAATTCCGTGCAATTTGGTTTCAAGTGGAACGTAAGGTTGACGGAAACTCGGGGACTGTGTCTACCTGATGAGCCCCAAAAAGGGCGAAACCGGTCGTGGGCTGTCGACGGATTTTCAGCAACCTCATGAGTAGTACATTACTGAAGGGTTCCACTTTCAATACTTCTCGGTGTTGAAATATGTAGGCGACTACTTAGATACAAGTTGCGAACTGTAGCTGGTTACACTTATTCGGCAGATTCTGCTGTCAACGAGGCACGAGAGGAACTCCCTTTCTGCAGTGATAAGAAATTAACTTCAGGAAAACGAATATTGTTAGCAGATTCTCGATAGACCTACACGCCAAGTTCTCAGTGACTGATGAGCAAAGTTTGAATGCAGCAGTGAATGTTAAACCAGGCCTGGAGGAAACTAGATGGACTGATATGGCTCAGAATGGAACGTTTCATTCGTGGGGATCGGACGACAGTTTCACGCAGTTCATGCATGCGTGGGAATGGGCGGGTGGATTTATACAAGAATTGGGAAAGTTAGGATATACGACGGCCCTCAGGGGTTCGACGTTCTTTTTGCTCCATCATTGTCATGCTTCCATAGTTATGTTTCGCCGAAAAACTTCAAACGCTCTTCTCTGCATTTGATCATAAAGTAGCATTTAAGCAAAAAACGTAGCCTCAGTTCCATGCAATTGGGAATTTTCGTCCCAGGGCTAATCCCCATATGCCCGGCCTGTAGCGTCCGATTATTTCTCAGAAATTTCCCGAGAACCCGCCGCCTTCAAGCTATTTTCTCACCGCGAACCAACAGAAATGTCACAAGTCCTCGGGTCAACATGAAAATACAAGCATTCCCTCCGTCCACTGCCTGATTCGAAGGCACAGTTGGTGAAATTTGCCGGAGCAACCAACTCAGTTGACTGTGTGCACGGTAGGCATTATGCCAATTGTGAACTTCTACTCAAATCAAAGACACGCAGCTTTAGTGACCTCTGAACTGTGCCTTGTAGCCTACACCCTTACACCTGGAATGAAGATCAGATATACATCACAGTCTTCAGTGAATTCGGACTCTGCCAACAAAATCGATCTTGAAGACTGACGCGCCTGACGATGGGTTGATAGGGCACATATGTGCTGACATGTGATGCGTGCCTTCTCACAGGCCAACAACTAAATGAATCACTAAAATTCATCTCTCTAGTTAAGTATGAACTAGGGTCGAGATCAGTTTAAGTGACGCTAGGTGCCAAGCTATCGATTATCCGAACAGAGCGTTTGATAAAAAATTCGAGCTATCTGTCCAGGTTTTCAAACAGGAGTCGTTTTTACACGGTAAATGCGTTTCGGCCCGACAATATCAATGAGACGCCATGAGAGCACGCTGGTAGGTTGTGTTCGTCGTTCTTGAGTGTTGGAACACCCGATTCTGGACTCCTCAAAGGGCCCTCTAAAATTAGGGTTGTACATAGCCATCACGGTCTCTTTAACGTTGGACCACCTTCAGAGGTCTCCCTTGAAGGGATCACGGTGTACAGAAACGTCTCTAGTTGTGAGGGAGAGAACTCAGAGTGACTCATCGGCCCGTATATGAACATTAGTTTTTCCAGTTGAACAGATAAACGATAACCGAGCCACTCAAAGGGAATGCATGACCAAATGTGGTTACTATCGTGTGCTTTTCACTTAGAAAGAATTACTCATGCCAGAGGAGCTTGAGCGGGTCCACGATGATATTGCCCTAGG